CAACAAATCCTTTACCTCTTTTTTCACAAAGTCCCTCCGGACGTTAGCCAAGTGCCTTTTCTTTTGCTTCACTGGCCGGCTCCCTTCCGTCACAGCCAAGCGATGGCATATGACAGAACGGTCAATGCCCGGCATGTCTGCCACACTCCAAGCGAAAATATCTGCATATTCCCGAAGAACTGAGATGATTTCATCTCGAAGTCCTCCGGGCAGATCTCTTCCGATACGTACCATTCTTTCTGGGAAGGCTTCCCGGAGAACGATCTGCTCGGTCTCATCACCCGGTTCCAGCTTTGACCGGTCTTCTTCTTGAGAGACCAAAGTGACTCTCTCAAAGGCCTTTGTCATTTTCTTTACTGCCTCCAGATAGCAATGCCGGGCCTTCTTTTGATCACCTCTGACTTGTCCTATACCGCCCGGGGTATAGAACTTCATACAGAGATGGGCCATGGAGATGACTCCTCGGTTCTTGTTTATTCCAGGCCGACCCAAAATAGCATTGTGAACACATTTGATGTTCACAACTACAAACCTCATCTGCTTCTGGACGACCTGCTCGCCCGTGCCCAGCTCACAAGTTAGAAGGATCGACCCTTCAGCTTCGACCGAGTCCCCGGTAAACCCAGACAGGGGAGTCTTTAAGGGCTCAAGCCGTGTTCGACACAACTTGAGCTTCTCGAATGCATCCAGGTACAAAACGTTAACAATGCTGCCCGTGTCAACAAGTACCCGGGAGACATCGACTCCACCCATGTCCATAGTTATCACCAGGGGGTCATTGTGATCTTCTCCGGTGGCGGGAAGGTCCCGGTCAGTGAAAGTGATCGGCTCCCGTCTTGCTTGTTTTGACCAGGGATTGAGGGCTACTGTCCCTACGTAGAGTTCTCGCCCCCACTTCTTTCTTTGGGAAGCAGAATCTCCCCCTTCCGGTCCACCGTAGATGACCTGTAAATGCTCCTTGCCGGCCGCTTTCTTCTTCTTGTTTTGTTCGGCCGGCTGTCCTTCAGGCCTAACCCATTGGTTCTTCTTTGATTTGGCCTGAGCCAGGCACTCCGGATCAATCTCCCCGGCCTCAATCATTTGTTTTATTACTCCCTTCACACTATTGCATTCCGCGGTGTTATGGGAATCAGTTTTGTGGAAGGAGCAATACTTCTCCGTCCATTGCTTTTCGCCGGTCGGTTTCTTTTCCGATTTGACCGGTTTTACCTCCATGACTTCCGCCTTCATCTTACCGGGCAGGTCAATTTCCTTTTTCAAGGAAGTTTTTCCCTTTGAATGGCCCTGCTCGGCCTCCCTTTTGGACGATACCTGCGCTTCGGCGTCAGCATAATCCCAAGCTGTATTATAGGCCTCCTGGTAGGACTGGGGAGGCCTCCTGCAGAATTCTTTGTATAGTTCTCCGGACCGGAGCCCGGACACAAGGAGGGACATGGCTGTTTTGTCGTCCATCTCCTCCACCTTGTCAACTTCATCCTTCCACCGGGTAAGGAACTTTGTCAGATCCTCGTGCTCCCTCTGCCCGGCTGTACTCAAGTAGGTGAATTTTTTCCTTTTGGTACAGTTTTCCTTGAACTTTTCTTGAAACACCTCAGCCAGCTCATCGAAAGAGTCGATTTCACCGGCCGGCAAGTTATGAAACCACTCGGCGGCGCGGCCGCGGAGGGTTTGAAAGAAAAGCAGACATTTCTCATCCCCGGAAAGACCCATCATCCGCCCACTTTGATGGAGGGTTTTGACGTGAATTTCCGGGTCCTCCTTCCCGGTGAACTTCGGGACTTCGAGTTTCGCCTTTTTTGGAAACGGGGTCTCATGAACCCGGTCTGTGAACGGAGATTCGTTCAGCAGAATCTTCTTCTTTTCTTCCCGGTCTACCCGGCGTTGTAGTTTCTCCAGACGTGCCTCGACCCGGCCCACACGATCCCGAGGTTGTTCAACATGAGAACGGGTCGGGTGCCTGGGGTGGCTTTCGGCTTCTTCCTCTCGCGGCGTCCGGCTGTGCTGGGGCTCATCGCGAGGGGGTGGTTCCGTTCGCCTGGTCTGACCAGGTCGTCCGGCTCCTCTCCCCGCACGATTAAAGGCACTAGCTGGGATGGTTTCCACTCCCAATCGTTCCTTTGCTGACCGGTTTTGATTTCGGCCATCGTGTCCCAGCCTTTGAAAGGCTGACCTCCTAGATCCTTCTGGTTGAACATCCTTTCCCTTCAATTTTTTGAGCGCTTGGGGGACGTCCCAATCCTCGTCCTTGCTGTGGACTGAACGCACATTCCCGTCCGAGGTCGCCTTTGTTTGTGACCTACGGGACCGGCTTCTTCTAGACCGGGATGGACCTGCTTTATCCATCTCCCCGATCAGGTTTGTCGGGCGAATGACGTTAGTCTGAGGCGTGGATTGTGGATACAATCCCGGATTGAAAGGTGAAAACCCTCCCGGTTGCTGGAACATGGACATGAAATGTCCAAAATTCTGAAGAGCCTAGGTGTACATTGGATCCAGGGGCCCGGGAAAATTTGAAGGAAAAACGGGAACAGGGTTCACGGGGGAAGTGAATGGGATAGGTTGTGGAATGGTGATGATGGGGGTAGGAATCTGGCTTGACGGTTGGGAATTTCCTCCTGGGAACGAAGTGACGTTCTCAGCGGGAGTAGAGATTTGTGAAATCACGGTTTCCTGATTACTGGCCATGACTTTTTGTAATGGGTCCCACGGATGGCGCCAATTTGATGGTGTAAATTACCACGCAAATACAAAGTAAAAGTAGTCGGAAGGGCTGTAGGTGGGAACACCTATAACCCGGTTTGTTATTGATAATTATTGGGACTATTACAAAGTACAAGCCGTGTAGGTTAATTAGAACATACCTCACAAATGAGGATTTTAGGGGTATTTATAACATAATTAAGCACGTCAAGCACGTCTCAGGTTATCAAACCGGTCATTTGTCTGACCGGTCGCATAAGAGTACTTCGAGAATCTTTCTGCAGGTGTCGTGTGCTCATTCCCTCCAGCCAACCGGTCTCTCGACCCGGTCTCCTAAGTACATGATCGGCCATCTTCTGTCACCACCCAGTCAGGCGAACCAACCGAGTGGTATCAATGGGTTATTACCCATCAGGGAGAAAATAAGGAAAAAGAATTGGTTTGGATGAATGGGACGTGCAATTGGTTTGGATGATCATTACCTAAAAATAAGGAAAAAATATTTATTAATTGTTGACAATATATTGTATATATGAAAAAAGAATTCTAATTAAACATGAAAAGGAAGTTGTGCGCGTGGTGGACAAAGGGTATAAACGGATCAACACACAAATTTACTCCTAAAAACAGGAAAAAACTTAAGGGGTCCTATTTGGGGAAAACTCCTATCTTTTACTCTTATTTGAAACAAATTCTACTTTTTTTAAGTGGTATTTGATGCTCTTAAACACTAGCCGTATGGTATAATTATCACATGTTGCCATGGGATCCGGTATGGTATGGTCATGTTTAAATATAGTTATGTTTAAATATTTATAATCTGAACTGATCTAATTTAATTTGACCTAATTTCAATAAGAAAATGTAATACAGCGTAAATAATAAGAATAAATTGAAGAGAACATAATCATAATACTCCGTAGTATGCAGTAAAATTTTACGGAGTATAAATAACAGACCCTTTTTGGTTCTTTATTTAAAAAAACCCACCTAAAATGATATACTCATTCGCCCTAAAATTATCATCCCAATTTGATTTTTTTTTGGATCACTTAGAAAACAAATTATAAAAAATACATACGAGTAATTAGTTACTACCTCCGTCCCAATTTAAATCGTCTATTTCGTTTACGATGTTTGACTGAAATTATTTTTTCAAATCATTTTATATAAAAAATGGTGTAAAATTAAAGAATAAAATTATATACTTAAAAACTACTCCCTCGGTCCGCCATAGATCTTTCTAGACACTATTCACAAGGTCAAACTTAACTCATTTTGTTTGTTTATTTTTACTACTCATTTCATAAAATAATATAATCTTGTCACCACTACTTTTGTAAAACTTTTCATATACTTTTTTACTATATAAATTTTATTTTTAAATTTCACACCTACAATTAGATAAATTTAATTGAAAATAAAATCAATCAAATCTCGTAACGCATAATGAAAAGATCTTTGGTGGACGGAGAGAGTACATCAAAAGACTTACAAAATTAGTGGTCCATTGGCTATATTATTTAATCAAATAAGTAACAAAAATAGAGAAACAAAGTGATTGAAGTTTAACTGTAAATAGTAAACAGATAAATTAATTTGGGACAGAAGGAATATAATGTAGTCTGTAAATTTAATATAATTAGAATAATTTTAAGATGTAGTTTGATATATCAAATTTTTTTAACATTTATTTATTTAAAACTATATTTAATTTCTGATAAAAAAGATCACAATATGAAGATAAATTTTAGACCGAGTGAGCATATATATATATATATATATATATATATATATATATATATATATATATATATATATATATATATATATATATATATATATATATATATATATATATATATATATGTGTATATATATATATATATATATATATATATATATATATATATATATATATATATATATATATATATATATATATATATATATATATATATATATATATATATATGTATGTATGTATATATATAGATACATATATATATATATATATATATATATATATATATATATATTTATATATATGTATGTATATATATATATGTATATATATATATATGTATATATGTGTGTGTGTGTGTGTGTGTGTGTGTGTGTGTGTGTGTGTGTGTGTGTGTGTGTGTATATATATATAGGCAGCAACAACTGTTCAACCGACCCATTCGCATCTATGATTAAAAGGAACATATGGAGAGACAGAACATGGCTGCTAGTCCAACAAATTTTTTTTTAAGAAGGCAAATGCAATGTTAGTGAAAGTGTTCATTTGCATGCCACGCCCTCATCTTTCTTTAATTGCATCTGTGAATCTGTGATCCTATATAGAGGTTCCCTAAATCAACCATCAAGATATAACTCATCCTATGTTAGAGTCTCACATTAGGGTAATTGAGAAAGAAGTATATTTTACAATAACATCTTTAGTTAAACTAGTTTGTCAAATAAATTCAACATTTTAGCATGGTTTGGCTCCAATGTCTTATGACTTAGGGCTTGTTCTCTTCACTTATATGATTGTTTCTCATCTGATTCAATTAATTTCTGATCTGATAAGAATTGATTGTAGTTTTAATAAAGCTATTTTTTTCTGATTTGATTCCAATAAAAATAGGTAATAAGTAAAAAGAGTAAGTTGAAGAGAACAAGCTCTTAGTTTGAGTCGCTCATTCCTACCAGATCATAAAATCCATCCACTGTAACTAATAGAGTATGCTATAAAGGGGCATGAAAAGTCAATCTTTTAGCAGCACCATTTAAACAAAAAAAAAGAAGAAGAAGAGAACATTACACTTTGAGGTAGTAGTGATGGAATCAGAAGAGGCTTCTTTATCAGCGCCTTCAACGACGACGACACCAGCCACTCCCGGTGCTCCACTGTTCACAAGGTTCAGGCGCGAAAAGGGCACTGGCGGGAATGTCAATAAAAACTCCTTTCTCAAGAGCTGCAAGTGCTTCAATGTGAAAGGATGGGATTTAGAGGAAGGAAGCTTGCCTTCTGTCTCATGCACATTGCCCTCTCCTCCTGTGTCTCTAGCAAGAAAGGCAAGACAAATAATCACATGAAATTTACCACTAGATAGCAAGTGTGATGTGGGTTTTCTGTTTTCTTTTTCTTTTTTTGTTCGTAACAGGTTGGAGCGGAGTTCATAGGGACAATGATACTAATATTTGCAGGAACCGCAACAGCCGTTGTCAATGAAGAAAGGAAAGGAAGTGAAGGGTTGGTAGGACTCGCTGGATCGACCGGTCTTGCTGTTATGATTATCATTCTTTCCACTGGACACATCTCTGGGGCTCATCTCAATCCAGCTGTCACTCTTGCCTTTGCTGCTCTCAAACACTTTCCCTGGAGACATGTAATAAATGTGTTAGAATAATACCCATCCATACATAATTCTGTCAGTACAGGTAATAAATTGTTAACAAGGGGTTTGCTTGTATAGGTACCTGTGTACATTGGGGCACAAGTGATGGCATCATTGGGGGCAGGATTCATAGTAAGGGCAGTTTTCCATCCCATAATGGGGGGTGGAGGTGTAACAGTTCCTTCTTTTTCTGGTTGGGGTGGCAATTGCCTTCAAGCTTTTTCCTTGGAATTCATCATCACCTTCAACCTTATGTTTGTTGTTACAGCGGTTTCCACCGACACTCGAGCTGTAAGCATGGGGTCTCTCCATCCTAAAGACAAAAGGGTTACACTACAGTCACACCACGAATGATACCAAGACTGACACTACCAGTGTTCCACAGACAATGTCTCACATGCATTAACTGTCTCTGGTGGTGTCAGTGTGGGTGTCATCCTGGGATTAAAGTAGCATTTTTCAAGACAAAGACATAGTTCATCTCTCTTTTATAACTTACCAGGTTGGAGAGCTTGCAGGGATTGCAGTGGGAGCCACTGTCGCACTCAACATTCTTATAGCTGGGTAATTTCAACATCTACATGCACATTCCTTTTACAGTTTCTTTTTCGCCCTTACACTGTGCTTAGTTCAAAGAATTTGAAAGGGAAAAGAAAAGAAAATAGAGAAAAATAACTTTTCTTTTTTTGAGCTCACGTAGCCTTAACTCCTAAGTGTTGTTGCTAGAGGGTAAAAATCTGTGAATCCTGCAATAGAAAGTTATGACACTCATTAAGCCTCTACTCCTTATCTCTCAGGGAAATAACCGGAGCTTCTATGAATCCAGTGCGAACTCTTGGACCAGCAGTGGCAGCAGGAAACTACCGAGCTATTTGGGTATACTTAACTGCCCCTATCTTGGGTGCTCTTGCTGGTGCAGGTGCATATTCTGCAGTTAAACTACCTGATGAAGATGCCCAACATCATCAAAAGGCTTCGCTTGAACATCTGATCAAAACGTAATCGATCAAATCCACATAACACCTAATTCTATAATTTTTTAAAAAGGGAAGTATCTACAGAACAATGAGTGGGAACATGCCCATACATCCTTCTTTCCTCGGTACCTTGTGCTATTACATTGGATGTCTATATGGCTTATTATGGGTGTCATCATCATATTGTAATCGTGACATTGTACATGGTCATGAGAAAAAATTTATATTCATTTTATATCAATTATTGTAGCACCATAACATGGTCATGAGAAAGCAAATGTATTGATAAAACACTCGCACTAACCACAAACTTACAGACAACATAACTCTACAGACAACATAAAGGCACATGATCATGCTCTTCCTCCTAATAAAATAATTGACTTAAGTTTTAATCCAACTGCAGATTGACAGCAAATCCATACAAGCATAAACAGAGGCCATATACGCAGCAACAATATTCATCCTCCATTTCATAGGCTTCAGCTGCATTAACCTTTCCTCTGCAAGGAGTTGGCATTCAAATCAGTCCCAACCCATCAAGGGATAATATCAAGTAACTCCATAGCAAATGTACAGATGCAGAAGAGATGGTCAACATCTTCAACATTATAGCCACGGAAGCTACAGCAAGTATCTAAACTTAGATGCTTGCTCAATCTTTGTTTAGCTTGTAATCTCCCCTTGCAAATCAGCCAATAAATGAACTGGTGCTTAGGTATCGACCACTTGTTCCAAACTATGTCACACCAAACAGGTTTACTGGATTCGCCAATCAACCATATATAACCCTTGGCAGGGGTATAATCACCATCTCTGTCCATGCCCTGGAATTTGTTTCAAATCTGGATGAGCTTTTTCTAATAATAGCAGTGCACTCAAACATAAGAGCAATCCCACACAGTTCCTTGCTTAATATATCTGCTATGAACCCATCTTACCAACCAAACAGCTCACACTTCTTTTGCCCCCCAAAAGAAGTCATTTTTATCGAGTAAACTAATTTATCATGTGTTTTGCCAAAAGTTGTCATTAAACAAGTTACATGCAATAAATTTAGTCAAACCAACAAATAAATTCAAAAGATATACATATTGTGGTTTATGATAGTTATACCTTGCCAAAATAAGAGCATGAACATTAGTCAAAGAGGCCTCTTCTTGAACGGAGATGTCGTGGTAGCCAGTATGTTCTTTACAATCTTATGTGACATCAACTTGAAACTGACGTGGATCTTTGGGGCATCCACATAAAAATGACTGTAATGTTCCTTGTGGTATTGCATTGAAACAATTCTGAGAACTTATAATGCTATTTTGAAATACATGAAACGTTCAATACTAGTTCCATCAGTAGGGAATGACAGAATGGCGGGCAGCATACTCACTTGTTCTAGACACAATGAAGTCCACCTAGAAACCACTTCCTGCTTACGGACAAGCAGGGGCTCCCATGACGAATGAAAGGACGATGCATCACACATGTTCTCTCCATACGCAACGAACTCTTTGGAAACTATTGGGCCATGAGTGTAACCATATTTTGGATAATCGAGTGAGGGCATTCAGCTAAGATATGTCAAGTTTCCTTCCCTCTTCCCCGATTTTGTTATCTTCCAACCCACACCTCCATCTAAGGGCCGTGTTGGACCCTTGGTCCTAGACTCTGGAGGACTAAAATCCAGCACTTTGTATTTCAAGTAGTGAACAAAAGACCCTGCAGCTATGATGAACTAGACAAAAATATAGGTAAATTATCTCATACTCATGCTCTAAGATTTTTTTAAGGCAGATGCACATAGGCTATTTATGCTATCCAGCATTCAACATGGCCTGAATATTGCAACTAGACACAATGAAGCCCCCAATCAGTTCTTGTTCCAAAGATCCAGGAGTGACGTCAGAAGTTACGCAAATACGAAATTACAGGGCGATCAAACCAAGTCAAGCTCTTTATCGCCGCTCAATGGGTCAGGTCGAACTGCAAAGGAATAGGGTTTACCGAGACGAAGAATCAAAGCAGCAATCAGAATGCCGAAGAAGTCGGCTACGGCGTCTTTTGACGAAGCACCGGCGGACTTGAAAAACCCTAGCTCGTCTGCGACCTCCTTGGCGGCCCCGGCAGCGAGGGAAACGATGGACCCGACCCAGATTCTCCTGCGCCTAATAAACGGGTATCGGGCCCAACCCGCGAAGGCGGAGGTAATGATAGCGATGGAGAAGCAGAAGAGAACGTGGTAGAGCTTATCCATGGCGAACCAATCGTCACCATTCTCCATATCTAGATAAACGGACTAATAGCATGGAGCCCAGGGGCCAGAGGTGGTAAAAGCTTTTAAATTGAGAAATGGTTGACCATGTGTGTGTTCGCCTATTTTAAATTTGGTGTACATGTGGGCTACTCAAATGGTGTTCTCATAGCACTCTTCTTTTAAATTACTAGTATTTTGACCCGTGCGACGCACGATATTAAACAAATTTTTTGTCGATTTCGATTTTTTTCAGTGTAATATATTCTCCGGAATCAAGCAAATATATTTCTAACACAATTTTTAATCAATGCACAACGGCAACATTAGAATAAATCATATTTGAGGAAATGAAAGTGTACTCGAAAAAACCTTATTTAATTCCAATTTTTTGAAAGACTTTAGGGTGCACAACGTTTTTGGTATGGTTATAAATGTTTCCATTGTTATCTAAAACCAATATTTTTAATCATGTCTTTGCCTTCATTCGTGAAAAAGTAACATATAGCTAACCATGACTAAATACTAAATTGGTTAAAAATAATACTTCCTCCGTCCCAGAGTATTTGTCCACTTTCAATTTTGCACACCATCCCACTTCTTTAATCAATTTTATCTTGTAATTTGTATATTAAAAAATTATAGAAATTATATATTAATAATCTATATGTTAAGACAAATCAAACAAGATCACACATGACTATTTTTAGGCTTACACATTGAGAGAATTTGATGAGTCAAAGTGCTTAGATGAACAGTTCCAAAAGTCAAAAGTGGACGAATATAGCGGGACGGAGGTAGTACAACAAAAGACAATGTTTGACCTTAACTTTTGTTAATAGTCATAGTAAAATATAAAACTATTGAGAATTATTTTCTCTAGAATTTCTTAGGTAGTCTTGAATCAGATGATACCAAATTCATTCGGGGTATGAAAATCTTTTTTTCAATTGCAGTGATAATGTTCTTTCTCAACTTCTAAACGATTAATCTTCTATCATTACACAATCCAGATATTTAGTCAATGTTCTTCAATGATATAGTCAGTACCCTCTTTTTAAAAACTATTTTGTGGTTTAGGATCCCCGAATATTTGATTTAATTAAAAAAACTAAAGTGTTATCCAATTGTCTTCAACAACTACTTTTAAATCAGCTTTGCATAAGGGATATGAAAAATCCATTACCATTCAACAAACTTGAGTGCAGGTGCTAATAGTGCACTATCCTAAAAAATTCATGTTCTCTAATAGGTTCGGATAAGTGAAGTCCACTATAACTCTTGAGTGGATAACTTATTTCAAGAATCAAGAATGCAGAAGGATTTAATTTCAATGTCAGCAGTTCCATCGATCACTTGTCTAAGTTTTCCATCTTTGACTTTGATATCCAATCAGAAAAAGCTTACGTGTCCTTGTCTGTGTAAGAGAGTGTAGATTAATGCAATCTCATATTTTTGATCAACGTATAAAATTTACAATACAACTACATTTCTGAGGATTTGATGGTAGCACCTACAATTTCCTCTCTCAAAGCTATGAGTAAAACTGAAAGAATTTGGATAAATCTTCTTTGAGTACAAATGTTTTCCCTGTGAATGGTTCATTTATGAATTTATTATTAGAGAACCTCATTACATCTCTCATTGTGTAATCCAATGTCTCAAAAGAAAATATATGCATCATAGATGATAAATCTCATATGGTTATACTTACTTGTTGGATTAGGTCTGCTTTCGGACTCCATTGTTTATTGTCACAAAATGAGCACTCAGTTAGCACCAAAGGGATAAAAAATCTTGACTCTCCTCCCCCTAGGCAAAAGCAATGCTACAATGTAGTTGAATGCGACATTCAGGACAACCTTACCATTTGACCTTAGAGAAGCAGACAATGACTTCTAGAGAAATATTTTTCCAGTTCCACCGTAACCATGGACAAAAAAGAACTCCCTCTTTCAGCTATCACGACTTCCATTATTTCATTAGATATATTCGATTGATCTTCATTCATCGTAAATAAATATCCTCTAAGATTAAATGACAACTTTTCTTAGTCATAGTTCAACTTCTCTATCAAAAAACTATTTTGATATCTATTAAGTTGATTGTCATCTCCAAATGGCATGCACTTGAATTCCTTTAAAGGTCGTCCATTTCAATTAAGCAACTTTCCAATCTCAATTAGACATAAATTCTTTAGGTCTTCTCATGAGATTATAAGCTCTGTAAAAAAAGAATTACGCCGTATTTGTTTCTATGCAGTGCTCAATTAAAGAGTTTTGTTATCATTTAATGCGTTTCAGATGGATTAATACATTAAAAAACTATCTTTATATTCAAGTTCCTTGATTCCAAAATATCCTTATTCGATCAAATAAAATTCCATTCACCAAGAGTTCCTATAATTTATCAAAACAATTTATGGGTGACTCATGGTACGTGGACAAACAACATTTTAGCATATTCCTAAATCCTAACTTAGCAATCTCTTTTATATCTTCAATAAGTTCTTTATCATCGGTTAATAACCCCAATGCTTCACATGCTACCTCAAATACGCTATGTAGAACATTGTTAACTCTCATCAAGCTCTAATAGCTTATACATCCTCGCTGGACAGTTAATAGTACAACTTTCTGGTTTTCGTAAGCACGTATTGTAGTCTGCCTATTGATGACCTTTGTTACATCGGAACCATTTCCGCACTTTAATTTATGATTGTACACACAAAAATTGGGAAATTCTTTGCATACATCAAATTTTATCCCACATTATATTGTGTATTGGAAATCATCCAAGCTTCAAACATTGAAGCTTTGTCAATATTTTCTTTGACAATATCTTTTAGCTTTTTTTTATCTCTAAAGTTTACAAATTTTAGCCATGGGAGATGAAAATTCAACCTCGAGTGCATATACCATATTTATTTACGTAATACTTTCTTACATTGTTTATAATATCTTATACATAGAGTTAGTTAATACACAAAGATAATTGTTTTATTATCATCTTCAAAGAAATTAAAACATGTGTTATAGAAGATAGATCCATATGTTTCTTATGCACTTAAAAGCATGATGAATTGTGTAATTATTCTCGGATCGGAGCACTGTATAGATTTTTTGGGAAAACATTACTGGAAAAATTAAATATTCAATTCAGAATAATAAAAATACCATTTGTCACATCATAGAGTACATTCTTTCTCGAACGTGTTCGATGATGCAAGGTTATAGTCGATGACGACCTCTCTTTTTCTGTATGTGTAATAACCATCATATGTACTGCAAAAGCAATACATATGTACATGTTTGTTTACTACCTACCAAAATAGTACCTAATCCCACTGAACACTGCCTAGGAAGGAGGATTAAAATTTACTCTGTAAAAAAATAGATCTACGGTAAAAAAAATTCCCAAACTTCTCAATCGCCTCCTACGGACCAAAATCAAAGCAATGAAGTTTCCTTTGATTTTGAAGAATATGAATTCGATATTTCATTATTCTTATTAATATACAACAACAACCCAGTTGAATCTTACTACAGTAGGGTCTAGATATTATTCTTATTAATATAATGTTAATTATTGTTAAATAAATTAATGAATAGACTTTATTTTATTATAACACAGTGACCCATTTTCTACCTGTGGTACACGGCCCCTCATTTCTCAGAGACAACCCTAGATATTACTTATTTATTTTATTTTGACATAAATGTCAAAATAGGCATGTTTTTTTATTTTCAAGAAATTAATACTAATTACACTTATAATAGTTAATATTATACCATAAATATTTTGATTAGGAACACCAGTTAATAATTAATTTCTTACACATAAATACTCACATACTAAGTCATCATCATATTAAAAATTATTAATGAAAAATAGTAATTTTTTGGAACATATCTATAAATTTTTACAAAGTTAGTAATAGAAAATAATAATTTAAAAATGGAAAATACTAATTTTGTTTATTTATTTCAAACACAAACAACATTGAATTTTTAAATTATTATTTAAAAAATTTAGAAAAGAAATTAAAAAAGCTTTTAAAAAAAAAGAGAAGAAAAAATGAGATAAAAATGGTGGAAAACCAAAAAATGAAAAGCAAAATAGAAAATGAGCTCTTTTACCATGTGGTTTGGAAAATAGACAATAATGTCCCTTCACCAAAAAATGTTTAGAGAATAGCTCATTTCTCAAATTAATAGACTTGGTATGATTCAAGAGACAAACATGTCAAAACTTTGTTTTGTACACTTGTAATTCTTTAAATATTATTTATTCAACTTTCACGTTAATGGCTATAATATTATAAAATTGTGTTAGAAATATTGTTTTTCAATCGAGAAATATTAAATTGAAGAGTATTTTTTGAATCGACAAAAATTTAATTCGGTCCCGTGCGTGGCACGGGTCAAACACTAGTGTTAAAAAAATTGTCTAATAAACGCGCCACATGTCACAATTCTAGAAGCCCAACTCTCAAATTTTATATATAAAGATAGATAGACGCCCATGGGGAGGGAGTATATATGGGTGGACTGTGCTGGTACCCCCAATATATGCTCCCTCCATGCTCTTGCTTTGCCTACCGTACTCTTGCCGGGATGATGCATGGTATTGAAGCTGGAAGTGGATTCCACAAGAGCCGGGGCATGGTCTCCTTTAATGAAGTGGGACCACATTAATGTTTATGTGATGGATATTTATTTTTATGGCCTGCGTGCCAAGTTTATGCATGTTGCTTGTATTATTTTTGTCTTTGTTGTTGATGTTTGTTGTCTTATATATGCATGGAACCATTCTTATGGTTCGGCATTTGACATTGATGTACCATTCTGATTATGGGTAATAATAATTTACATTTTACCTATAGATAGACGCCCTCTCTTATCTATTTATATATTTTTAGATGTCCTCTCTTATCTATTTTTAGGGTAAAAATAAGATTTATGTCATTTCTTTTCCTATATTTTCAAGTTTCAATCTCTAATTTACATTTTTCTTTTATTATACAAATAAATAAAAATAAAATATACGCTTTCTGTTTCAAATTAATATTTTTTTATTTAGTTTTCAAAAAAAATAATTTTTTTAGAAAACGTTACAAAAGAAAATGAAAATATTAAATACTCCCTCCGTCCCCCTAAGATCTTCTCATTTTAACTTTTTGTGGTTTTTAAGGAGATAGGTATTAAATGAGATAGGTGAGGTGTAATAAATAAAGTAAGGAGGGTAGTTGTGGTATTTTAATTGTTAAAAAAGGTAATGAGAAGATATATTAGGGACAAATAAAAAGGGCTATTGAAAAGATCTATGGGAGACGGAAGGAGTATGAAATAAAATACACTTTTATTATAAGTAAAAGTAAAAAATAAAAATTTAAAAAAAAGATAACATATACTCACTCTATCTCAAAAAATATGAAAAACAAAGAGATGAAATAACTACCGAGTAAAAGAAATTATTTTTTATTATTTTATTCTTTTCATTACCTTTTTCAATTATTTTTTTCTTTTACTTCGTACATAATATTTTATTTCATTTTTTATTTTTCATTTTCTTTTGTAACATCCTCCAAAAAAGCTCTTTTGTTCTCAAAAATACTTAATTGAAAATTTTAATTTGAGTTTTATATTTTATTTTAATTATTTGTATAATAAAGGAAAATAAAAATGTGGAAGTTCAAGATAGAGAAAAAGAAATGGTATAAATGTAATTTTAATTCTAAAAATAGGTAAGTGGGCGTCAGTGCTCTATTTACTTCCATCTTGATTTTGTTGGTTTTTTTGTGGACTTTCTTGTGGTTCTTGGTGCGCAATCGACTGGAGTTTCCTTTTCTGAGCTCAATTCCAGCGATTTGGGGCTTAATTCAGCTGAATCGAAGAGGGAATTCTCGAGTTACTGTTCATCTCGTTAACTTAGATTTCTAATTCGTTGCTGTTCTTGCTGAATCGAAGGCCAACTTTTGGGGGGTTATGAGCGACCTGGAAAGCCTCTCCTGATTCTGAAATTGGATTTCCATTCCAGCTGAAGAATTCTAAGATTTGAGGCAAAATTGCAGTTCATCGTCACTGTTCACAGTGCGACAATGGCCTCTGTGATTTTTCAGGTTCTTGCTCGTTTTCTCCTCCATTTGGTCGTGATTCTTGGGGGGTCTGTAAGGGTATTTCATTGCTATTCTTGTTTTCTGATTCAATAAACTTGGGATGGATTCCTTGAATTCATGGTTACTGTTCATGTTCTTGAGCTGTGCGTGTCTGCCATTTTGTTGGGAAATTAAGCACCAAATTCCCCACACAACGGAAGACGCTAACCAGTAAAAGACCCAAACAGAACCGCAAGCCAAAACAAGTAAACAAGTGAATGAGACCAAGATTGTAACCGGAAAAACCCTCTTTACGACCACTATAAAAATAGTGCAAGTACAATTTAACCATCTAAGATTACAACATCAATCCTAGACTCGCATACAATATTTTGAGTGACCCATAAAATATTGTATGAAGAAACCAATTGTACAACCCCTTCACAAGGAAGTAAAAGACCACGGGTGGAGACAAAATTTCCTTTGCACTTCTTGTGCTTTCTCACAGTCCCAACAAAGCCATGCAAGAAAATCATTAAATAGGAAGCCAAGGCAAAAATACCCAAGCCGACACCCACCTTGGCAAATGAAAAGCCATGCATTAATTAAAATGCATGCACCATGACTTTTAAAGATCACAATCCCAAAATTAAACTTGCAGAAAAAAAAAACGGTTCATTGGGCTGGATAAATTTGTGAAACTATCCCAACACATTTTGTGACGGTTTGAAGACTGGTTGCTTTGCTCTTTGTGGACTCTTTGAGGATTGTTTGATGTTCGTTTGAGGTTTGTTTGATTGTTTGGTGTGACATTGGGGCGAAATGGCAAGAAGAACATGGGCATGAGTACCAAATTGGAATTCCTTGAAACCTTTGTTTCGGATATGAAGATGAATAGGCTGATGACCCACGCCCAAGACATCACACAATCCATCTCTGAGGCTGTTGTATTCAATGAAGCTGGGAAGTCTTTGTTCGCTGCTTTTGTTGCTGCCATCTTTGTGCAGATTTCTGAACTGGGAAAGGCCATTGTTGAGTCTTGTGTTGACTCCAATGCCACAACACCATCTAGTGACTGTCCTCTGTTGCCTCCTCTGGGTAACTTCAAGGCTGTTGTAGAGCATGGGAAGGGTACGTTTGGCACCCCCAGGTGGTTGCTGTTTTCCCTGAGCCAAACCATTATTCTGTTTAGATGCCATCCTTCGCCAAGTTTAGTGGGAGGACTTGGGGTGCTTCCAAACTGTTTCCCTCAAGCAAGGTGGAGGTTGGGGATGTTGAAAATCCAGCAGAGGGTTCAAAGCCTTTGCCATTCCAGCTGGTCCTGGTATCAAAACCATGGAGGACCTTGTCTTCGTGGTATTGTCAATGCATTTCGCTGCCACACCTAGAGATTGGGTGATTCTAGTCTCCTAGTGATGAAGGTTGAAATCAGGTTCCCGACACCCAGGTAAGAGCCTTATTCTCTTCTAGAGGCATTTTGTTATGGCAAGATGCTATAGGACAGTTGACGTTTTGGCATTTTTGATGTCCTTCAGTGACTTGGTTCTTGTGGATTTGTGTGCTTGGGGGAGATTACGTATTCCAAAGTGGTGTCGAGGGCTTCCTTACCATTGCTTTGTTGCAAGGATGTTGGGCACAATTCTTGGATGTTGTCTCCCTTCGGTTTTTGACATTTTAAAGCATTCTTTTTCACTCCTTTGATGTGGCCTATGAAGAAGGTGTGCTTGGACTTTGAGGAACCAAACTGTTCCTGATGGCTGGAGGGCAGCAGCTTGAAGGAACGTTGGCTTCCACTTATACCTGGCTTTGGGCTTGAAGCACACGCAACCAAGGGTCCTACCATGGTGCTGATTGCTTGGACAGGGAGGAGGCAGAACTGAAAACCATTGTTTGTAGAAGGGGGCATGCAGCTGGTCTTCAATTCTTCGATTTGTCCAGGTGAAAGGCAGTGTGTTTGCTTCGGCTCGTGGGCAGCAATGAAGCCTTGACACTCGTGTCGTGCTGACCCAAGTTGCCCAACCTTTTGAGGTACTATTGAGTGATGGCTGTGATGCTGATGCTTGTTGGGGCTGTTTTGACTTGCGTGATGGAGGTTTGAGACTAACAGGATACTCTTCGCTGATTTTGCTGGTTTTCCCTGGGTTTGACTCCGTGGCACCTTGTCCAGGATTCCCTGGGGTGTTTTTGCGTGTTTGCTTCGTTTGAGGAAAGATGCAATCACTAAAGGGGCTAACAAGAGTAAGGATTTGAGTGATGGCCAAAGTTTTCTCTCATTAGGTGTGGATCCGTGGCTCTGTTCTCGTTGATCCCCTAGGGTTGCCATTGCATTCAGTTTGTAGCCCTTTCTATGTAAATGATTCTGAAGACGCAACGAGGGACCCTGGCTTTGCTTTGGGGATACTGCTTTCTGGTTGATGGCCACTCTTGTGACGGATCTAGTGCCCAATCCAAAGAAGACCGTGTCATCTTCCGAGGGTGGGCGGGCGGGCAGTATCTTGTTCTTGGAGTTGGGCCTCACCCGAACCAGTATTACGCTAGTCTTGCACATGGCGTCCAGGGCAACAACAAGAGGAAGGAAGACGAAGAGAACATCTTTTGTTTTCTTATTCTCCTTTTTTGTTTGGTTGCTTTTGTTGTTGGCATGACTTGCCTTTTGATTTCATAGGGGTATGCCCCGATGCATTGTATTCGTACTTTGTATTGACTTCACGATTTATGCTTTTTACCGTTTATCATTAAAATATGCTCATAGTCAATTAAATGTAATCAAGTACTCAATATATGTTCTTTGTAATTCATTCTAAAATCATATTCGTTTTGATTTGTTACCGAAGATGTACTCTCAAATATTCCCTCTGTCCACTATAGATCTTCCCGGACACTATTCACAGGGTCAAACTTAATTCACTTTGTTTGCTTATTTTTACTATTCATTTTATAAAATAATATAGTCTTGTCACCTCTAGTTTTGTAAAATTTTTCATGAAGTTTATTACTAAAAAACATTTACATTAAAATTTTACTACTGTATTCAAATAAATTGAATTGAAAATAAAGTATGTCAAACCTCGTAACGCGCAATGGGAAGATCTTAGGTGGACGGAGGGAGTACATAAATTCACCTTCTTTTTAACTCAACTCCCTAAAAACTTGCTACACATGTCTCAAGTCTTTAGAGTTTAACCCTTGTAAATGATATAGCATAATGGCATAAAAAAAGTTTTTTTTTTCAAAGAGGAAGTACAATAAATAACGCACAGAAGAGAAATTCCACGGTAGCTCACATTTTTTTGATTGTCGTGTGTTGATACCAAGCTGAAATTAATTTTCTGGTTCTGGTAGACCCGTAGTGTAAATTTTGTAATGTGTATTTGAAACACATCCAATTTTTTTACTCCGTATTTAAAGAGATGTGTTGAGTGGATGAAATCTTTGGCAAAGGATTCCAAATAAAGATTTCGAGATCTATACATATGCAATGCCCAAAAAATGTTGCATGTGAGAGTGTGCCGAGTTTGAAAAGGCACAATTTCCATCTTCATTAATTGGGCCAGTTGTATTAACATATACACATGCTAAATGATAACTTTCGAAAAAAAATTATTTTTTACTACAAAACATAGGGACTCTACAAAGTTTAGCTTTGCATTTTACCTAATCTCCAACTAGGGGTGAACATGGTACGGTATTTAGCTCGTACCGATACCGTACCAAATATTTCGGTTCGGTATGGAATTTTTCTCCGTACCGATCCCGATCCCGAAATATCGGTTCGGTATGGTTCGGGATGGTTCGGCAGTTTCGGTACAAATCGGGATGAATATACATACCTAATTTACACCTTAAAATTTAACAATGCCCCTTTATTTTTGAAAATTAAAAGTGAATTTAAATAAAAAAATATGAAAAATTAAAAAAAAAGAATATTTAAATGCAAGATGTGCGTATCAAAACTTAGTTTATATTTTACAAACTAAAAAATAAGAACGACAACAAAGGAGTATTTCAAATCTTTGTAAATACTTTTATGTTCATACACAAAAACTAAAACTCAAATAAAATTATAATTTACACATAATAGAACTTGAACCGATTTTTTTTTAAAAAATTACTCCGTATTATATAGTGAGGGAATATAAAAATATTACTCCGGGGTATTATTTTCATAATATTTTAGTATATATGTTCGGTTCGGGATTTTCGGCATGGGACGTCACCTCGTACTGTTCCCAAATACCGCACCGACCATTCGGTTCGGTTCCTTCTCGGTACTTTTTCGATTTGGTATTTTTCAATTTGGTATTCTCGATTTTTTTGGAAAATTTGGTATCGGTTCGGTACTTGCTCACCCCTACGCCCAACAACCCCTCATGCAAAAGTCATCATGCCCTCAAGACATTCCATAATGTGGGCTGTTTAGAACTTTAAATTGTTCATACTCAATCTTAAAATCCCCATTTAACTGGCCCATACTCGGTACTAAAGAAATACTACCTCCGTCCCAGAGTATTTGTCCACTTTCATTTTTACACACCATCCAATGCACTTCTTTAATATATTTTATCTTGTAATTTGTATATTAAAAAATTATAGAAAGTATATATTAATAATATATATGTTAAGACAAATCAAACAAGATCACACATGACTATATTTAGGCTTACACATTGAGAGAATTTGATGAGTCAAAGTGCTTAGATAAACAGTTTCAAAAGTCAAAAGTGGACGAATATAGCGGGACGGAGGGAGTAGACGAAAACAAAATGTTCATGTTTTCCATTTACCTTGTATATTAAGGCCTCGTTTGGTACATGGAATTCAAACTATGGAATTGGAATTGAGGACTTTAATTCCAATTCTCATGTTTGGTAACACAAAAATTATGTGGATTTGAAATTGGTAGTGCAAAAAATGAATTGGAATTGGTCAATTCAATTCTATGAAATTGAATTCCATGGAATTTTAATTCCAATTCAATTCCAATTCCATCAGTTCCGTGTACCAAACGGACCCTAAAAGGTTTTAACAAAACAACTCTGTTTATTAAAAATTGATTCAAATTACGGAGTAAAACAAAACATTACATCGAGACAAACAAGGGCACCCCACCTTTATGGTTGGACACTTCCACACACCCTTGTTCAACGAAAATGTTTTATACGCCCAAATTTTTGTTTAAGAAAGTTCCCGAAGATTACATACGAAAAATATAAGGCCTCATTTGGTACACGTAATTCAAACTATGGAATTGGAATTGAGGACTTCAATTCCAATTCTGGTGTTTGGTAGCAAAAAAATTATGTAAATTTGGAATTGGCAGTGCAAAAAATGAATTGGAATTGATGAATTCAATTGCATGGAATTGAATCCCATGGAATTTCAATTCCAATTCAATTCCAATTCCATCAATTCCGTATACCAAACGGACCCTAAGGGTAAAAAATCACATCGAATTCTAGAGAGGCCAAGTAGAGAAATACTACGTACAATTTATCAATATCTAATTAAATGAGTAAATTTCATAAATAGTCCCCAATTATATGTAGTTTTCCATATTTAATTCTCAATTATAAGAAATTCTATAAACAGTGCTTAATTTTTGAAAACTTTTCCATAAATAGTCCTTTTCAACAAATATGACAAAATATTTTGAGTAAATTGTTAAAATGATTCTTTCTAATAAGATTTTTTTTCTCAAAGTAATCCTCCCTGAATAAGCAAAAACAACTAACGCGGTCCTTTATAATTGAGATGTGTTTTCTAAATATTCCTTTATCAAAAATGCCTATTGAATGAGAGTTAAATGGATAGTATTTTGATACTCTTTAATTATTATCTAAACTATGAATAAGTCCTCAAAAATGATTTTTTAAAATTAATTGGGAGGCTATTAATAAAGAATAATTACCAACATGGTCCTTTATAATTTAGATTTATTCCCTAAATGGTCCTTTGCCTAAAATGTGTATTAAATGTCAATCAATTAGAAGATATTTTGATATTTTCTATCATCCAAGCTTAAAGTATATTCTCGAAATGCTCCTTTATAATGAAATATTTTTCCAAATTGAAAACTTTTAAGTAAACATTTTTCAAATAGAGTCCATAGGGCAACTCAGGGTGGGTCCCTTCTTCTAGTAGCCTCCCAATTAATTTATAAAAATTATTTTGAGAACTTATTCATAGTTTAGATAATAAAGAGCATCAAAATAGCCTCTATTTAACTGTCATTTAGTAGACATTTTTAATAAAAGACTATTTAGAAAATGCATCTCAATTATAAAAGACCACGTTAGTTGTTTTTGCTTATTGAGGATTATTTTGGGAAAAACTTTATTAGAAAGGACCATTTAGAAAATTTACACAAAAAATATTGTCATATTTGGTTAAAAGGACTATTTGTGAATAGTTTTTAAAACATAAAAACTATATATGGAATATCTTATAATTAGGGACTAAATGTAGAAAACTACATATACTTGGGAACAATTCATAGAATTACTCTAATTAAATTCACTCTTGAAAAATTGATAATCCACAATCTGATTCAAACACACACTTTACCCAACTTTTTTTTCTAGAAACGACTCAAATAACTGTCCCAAACATCTAACATAAACAGCCATTAACACCTTACCCAACAAATATTGTTAATTATTATCATATGACTCTTTTTAAGTTTTAGCTATAATTTTGCCAATCCATGTCATTGAATTAAATTGGAAATGAGTTCATTTGAAAATAACTTCACGGGAATAATATAAGTTTGAGAATCCATGTCAGGGTACTTTAATACTTAAATAAATTTAAATTTAAATTCACTCAAATAGCGTAAACCGAAATGTGAAGAAGGACACAAGGAGTAATACTTATGGATTTTCACTGAAAATAATGGTGTGAATAATACAGGAGAAGTTTGTAAACAAGAGCTTATAGTTCACATACAATTTTTTTTTATATAATAAAGTTGGCAATCAGAATCATAACTTGTTTGTGTACAATGCCCGGGCTTTTGGTGTCCATTCTTCCATATTTTTGAGAGGAAACATCATTCCCAACATATTTGGGGACGAAAAAGACACCAAAAGCAAACACGTTGTAACATAATAGATCCTGCATGGAAGAAAGTTTCAGAGCATGAGATTTGTTTGTGTCGCACAGACGCGATTTGATTTGTCTGTGTTTGTTTGTGAAGAGCAAAAAATGGGGTTGGTGTAGCTGTATACCAAGCGTAACCCTTTAGAATAAGGCAAAGGAAAGTTAGCAGTACCAGGGTACTATGATCTAGCTGTGCTTTTCTGTCATCCAGTCGACGAAATTGTCAAGGACCAAAGGCCAAGCGAGCTCTGGATCATAATTCCTCAAGTCCGGAAAGCTTATCTGTTCATATCAAAGTGCTCCGGAATTATTGTAATCTCAACAATAAAAATAATAATAATAATTATAAGAGAGCTAACCGTTCATAGATTGTTGGACAATGCAAAGGTATTATGGATGGAGAAAACAACTCGGTTTTACCTCGCAGCAAAATCTGTAAAATCCCATCCATTGATCCATATTGATGACCTTGTAATCGCTCTGGATCTGACACCAACCACCGTACACCCATTACACATTTGGTAATTAACTTAAAGTTCTTGCTAAGTATTACTCCCTCCGTCCCTTGATAAACTTCACATATTGGTTTAAGATGTTTGTGTGAAACTCTCTCTCCATTTCAATTCATTTAAATATTGGTGTAAAATTTTAAAATAAAGTTTACAAATTTAAAAATTGCATCAAAGATTTTTCAATAAAAAAAAGTGATGACAAGAGTATTCTATTGTAACAAATTATCGATGTAAATAAGTGCAGAACGATTACATGATTTGATCTTGTGAATATCGATTGAATAGTGACTGATATTTATTTACGGACTGAGGGGTTATACCTAATCAACCTCAAATATCACCATTTCCTTTTTTTATCCATTTGGAATGATGGAAAATGATTTCATGTAAAATGACATCTAGAAAACAAATTTATTTTCTACTCTTTCGTTGAAAGTTAGGAAAAATGAAAAAAAATATGTTGTTACATCATAAAACATGGGGAGTTTATTGTCTTCCGGATGTCGTTCCCCCCCCCCCCCCCCCNCATTTGGAATGATGGAAAATGATTTCATGTAAAATGACATCTAGAAAACAAATTTATTTTCTACTCTTTCGTTGAAAGTTAGGAAAAATGAAAAAAAATGTCGTTACATCATAAAACATGGTGAGTTTATTGTCTTCCGGATGTCGTTTTCCCCCTTCCCAAATAAACCCTAAGTAGAAGGAGAAATGATTAAATACAATGACCACTGCATAGGACAGGAAATATGAAACCCCTTCCAAAAGGGAGAATGGCTTACTTTTAAATACTGGATGAATTCATCAACTTGGAGCCGAAATTGAGAGCCTAACACAAGATCCAGCAGTACGCAGATGCTTTCGATATCTATACTCTTCTGTTTCTCCTCTAGGGTTTGAAAAAGGAATACACCAATTTGACAATGTGAGCGCCCACGTTTACCACATAAGATTATGGGCAAAACACAGAATGAATTGAGAACGTGTGAAGAGCAAGATAAACCTATATATATCATCCCTTCCTATTTAGTTCCTCCATCATTTATGTCCACATTCCTTCTTTAAACATCACTTCCCTCCTTACCCAAATTTCTCTTTTATAAACCTTTTATGATTTGTACAAAGCATATGTACAATAAAAGCATAATTTTGGCAGGTAAAATTGGAAAATTGATGACACATAATTTTTTTTTTCATAATATCCCTTTAAAAAGAAATTTGTACCTACAAATTGGTCTAGACGGAGTATCAAAGACAAGGTGGTCAACAAAAGTGAGTAATATCATACCTGTTAAGCAATACCGAAATGCGTAAGCATAGAAATCCACGAAGTTTGGTGGTCTTCTAACCTTGAAAAGTGATAAATGAAAATACAAAATCAGGATGAATGATTTAAGACCCCCATTTAGTATCAAATATATGTTATTAAAAAAATAAATGCAACTTATTACTTCCTTCTCTAGTTCCGGAAGAGCTTTCTTCAATTTTTGCAATGTGTCGGCTCTTAATGATTTTAGCCCTTTTCTCCACTCATCCTAATGCAAGAACAAACAGCAGTGGTACTAACTTTGATAATAAAAATGAGTGTCATGGTTGAGATAGTATCAGCATCAGCCGTACTTCTGGACAGAAACAGGTTAGGAAACAAGGAATAATGATATGAACACACGATTAAAGAGTATAGAAATAGAGGTTTCCTGCTAACCAAAGTAAAGTATCCTTGTTTCTCTGATTGCATTTTCCTACGACACAAGGCTAGTATTAGTATTAAACTAAGAACATGTGTAGTCTGAATAAAGAAAAATTGGTCAATCGAAAGATACCAAGCCAGCATTAATATGCGAATATCGGTGTGTTTCACTTCCAAGTCCGAACATAGAGCCTCAATTCCTTCGGGGCTGTACAGGGATAATTATTACCATCAAATGTTCATCTTTGCTTTGTTTGTTTTTACAACATCAATAAGAAACAGTTTTTTTTTGAAATTCGAACTAACATTTGTACTCCATCCTCCATAACTTAGAGAGAAGAATTGCCCTTAACGTTGTTTTGAGCTAAGATACATAATTAAAGTGCTTGTCCAGTTAGAAGTACGTGACAGAAAGTAGACATCGGAATACTTACTCAATTAAACCAGACAAATTATTAGCATATGTATAAAACAATTGATCAATTCGGTCCAACTCTTTACTCGCTGCTTTACCTGAAGCTAAAGAGATGCAAATCATGTCAGATAAGAACAATACATCTTCATCATATCTATAAATTAATTAAAAGAAAAAAGAGAAAGGAATTCAACACATCTACAATAAATCTTTGAGCATGCCGTCAAATGGAATCAAAGTTCTTGCAGTGAACTTTTTCTTGAGAATGCGTTCAGATGTTAATATGGTTCCATACTTTAATGATAGCTAGCAATAAATATACTCCTAATCATGTTTCTGAACTCACGGTTCCCCAAACAAAGAGTTCAATTTTAATAAAAGAAGCTAATTTTCATCACATCCAAAGCTTTTCATCAGAAAAATACCCAAAACAAATAGACACACCATTAGTCGCTGGTATTCAAGAATATATGCAGTGATGATGAAACGAACAATTCCAATTACTAATAATCAAAGGTAGAAACTTTCTGCTCAACTCACCAAATTCAAGGGCAAATAAGTCAACTTTAAGTTTTCATAATTTCAAGCCGACACGAATCGCCGAAACAATTACTGGGTCTTATTAATTTTATTTAATTTTTAAAAAGAAAAGAAATTCTGTAAAAGATGAACATGAAATCAGTGAAAGGAAGGGAAGAATAGGAGACCAGAGCGAAAGAGATCCATGGTTGATGCCGAAGTGGTGGAGCTGGAGGAGCCTTTCTTGGACGAAGCACGAGGCATCTGGGAAACAGCGAGAGTTTCCTCTGAAAAAACGAAACGAAAAGAGCAATCGGATGGTGCGACTCTTCTACAAAAAGGATGAGCCCCATTACATTATTGTCCCTATGTGAAGTTACTGTTCATCTGTTTTGAGTCGACCTTGCTAAGAAATTTTGGTTAGTACTTATTCGTGATTTTAATAAAAATAAATAATATGGAGTATGATATTTTATTACTCAATATTTAAGTCGTATCATTCATTAAAATTCTAACATTGAAAAGTGTTCGTAAAATGGTGACTAATGATATAAAATTTATCAGGTTTAGACTTTCGTGTAGAGCGTGATGAGTAAAATAGATATTATAATTCAATGAATACATATAAAAATTTTATACAATGTTAAAATTTTAATATACAATGTTAGAATTTTAATGAATGATACGACATAAACAGAGTATGATAAGTGAAATTCATGTATATAAAAACTGAAAAGAACGTATAAATGTATTAATTAAATCCAAATTTTTCAGAAAATTTTAGAGTAAATAACATTTTTGATGCAATTGCAAGGATTGCCGTTGTCATCTAAAACTATCACTTCAAATCCTTTCTTAGTTTTCTCTTGTGAAACAAAAACATAAAGTTGACCGTGAGTGAACACCGATTTGGTCAAGAATAATCCAACAAATGATAATGTTTGAGAAGGTATATGGTACAACCGGATGTACATAGAGATAGGTACATCCGGGTAGTACTCATTGTGAAGTAGAGTAGTACTCATTCTCGCACAAACATAACTATTCATTTTGAAAAAACGTGGTATACATTCTAAAATAACGTAGTAATCATTCAAAGATAATGTAGTACTCATTTTCACACATTTATTCAATACAATTATAATATTTATCCACAAATAATGCAGTGTTCATTCTAGATAAAAATAGTACTCATTCTCAAATAACTTAATGTTCATTCTCAAATAAAATAAAACTTATACCATAAATAACCTTTTCTCTGCAACTAGGGTTTTCATATCCCCGCCTCTCTTCCACAGCTGCTTTCTTCCTCCATCTACGCGACCTGACTCGCGACCTCAACTTGTAACGCTGCCGTCACCTTCGGTGCTCCTTAGATCTTCATTCTCTATCGTTTTCGCCGGATTTTCGCCATGGTCGCTCCTCGTCATCTTCGCTACTCCATCGTCTTTCGTCTCCGGTGGCCCGACCCGACAAATGGAGGAGCGGCACTAATTCCGACATGCAGTTCATTCCCTTTTCAATTAGCCGGTTGTACCGAAAATTAGGTACAACAGGGTGTACGACATAATTTGCCATAATGTTTGGCCTTGACTCTAATTGATCATTGGTGGTCCCAAAGTGGTGAGATACAAAGTCTAGGGGGGGGGGGGGTGAATAGACTTTGTTTCAAATTTAAAACTTTTTCGTTTCTTTTGAAAACGTGAAAATGAGTGTTAATCTATAGTCCTTGTGAACTTTAGATTGTGTGCGGAATTAGGTGGGTAGAGTGAGCAGTAATCAATATGGATGGGTTAGTTTTCACAATTAATATAATTGCAGGTAAGAGTAAAGATAAAGGAGAGAGACACGCAAACTTTAACGAGGTTCGAAGGTGGGGTAATCCTTCTACGTTCTCAAAATCCACTATGTAGTTGGTTGTTGAATAATGAACCAACAATTACACTTGTGTGAATTTCTGCACGATATATCTTCGCAAGGCCAATGTTGCTACTGCACTCATGCTGGCTTTGTTGTTCCTTCGAAGGTCACGCTTCTTCAACAACAGCAACGTCCGAACAATAGGACTTGCAAGATCAACTTGTAAGAAAGTTGACCTACCCCCTTTCAATCAGGAAGTTTGATCAAAAGTTGTATCCTTCAACGTGGTGTGGTACTTGAGGCAAGGAAACCTTCAAGTGTTTACACTATAGCTCTTTGGAAGGAGGAGAAGTTTGCTTCTGGATAAGGAGTTTAGAAATCTCTCTTTATCAAGCTTTTTGGGCTAACTGTGAATGAGATAACTTTGTTGTTAGAGATTGCTTCGTTGTCTATTCATTCATATCTTCTCCAGTCTTCCAAGGGTACTATTTATAGCTAGATTGGATAATCTATCCGTTGAATCATAATAGACTATCCGTTACATTTGCTGGCTTCAATTTTGAATGAAGATTGCGATTTGAAGATTCCTCATTGGAATGGGTGTTTGGACATACCCAATTGTTTGAGAAGGGATTCCTTTTTCCACAGAATCCGTCTTCTAGCTGTTGTTCAAGAATTCAGAACTGTAGCACTTTACTATGTTTGTCTTCTAGTGCTTGTTTAGGAATTCTGGATAGACTCTTCATTTTTAGAGGTCCAGACTTTGTCTTCGAGTCATTTGTTCTTGAATCAGCATAATTATCTTCAATCTAGCCGTTGAAAATCAAGAGATTGATTTTTCCTTACCAACGGGTAGAATTTCTTCATTCAAGACTTAGATAATTTTTCTAAGTCTTTTCTCACTTGTCCACTTTTTGAGAATTCCGATCTTCCTTGAGGCATCCGGTTCTTGGCTGACAAATCCGGAGGAGTCATTCTCAGTCTTCCGGGTGAGAAAAAGATCCGCGCTAGTCTTCCAGCTTGGGTGACTTAGCCTTCAGCGGATTGTAGCGAGACATCCGGTTCTCATATAGTTTTCCGGATTTGAGGATTTACATCTGCTTTGAGAAATCCTTACTTGTCTCTGACATTTCCGATCAAGATATCCAATTTCCATATCACTGTCTTCAGGCATCAAAACACTTAAAGAAATATCACAACTTTATTGGAAATCTCAAGAACTCGGTTTTGACAATATTTCTAAAAAGAAAAATTACATTGAATATTGGGGGAGACCTTAAGTCCCTATTACATTCTAAATACATCATCATCAAAATCTATATTTTTTCCCAACAATTTCCCCCTTTTTGATGATGACAAACAAGTGTTTAAGAGTTCCGGTCGCTGTACTGAGAACTAATTTTATAACTTTCTTTTAGTTTTTCATAATATACAGCTTGTTAACAAAAACTCTTAAACAAATACAATTCAAATTACAATAATTCCTAAACCAAGTCTTGTCTTGAGATTTTGTGATATTTCTTCCGCCATTGACCGTTTTCAGCTTCAGCAGAACTTGCTTGGCAAAGCGGTTGGCGTTGCATTTGATAGATCTTTAATATCCAAAGTGGATATTCAAGATCTTGGAAGCAACACATCTCTCAAAAAGCAAAAAAACAAGAACAAAAAGAATGAAAGAAGAAAAAGGAAAATTGAAAGACAAGAAAGAAAAGGTTTTGGAAAAGAGAATTGATTGTGAAAAAGATAAAATAAGGTTTTCAAAGATGAAGGGAAAAACAAAAAATTTTGAAAGGATTTTAAAAGTAATGTTTGAGAAAGAGAACAGATTCTGCACAGAAAAGATTTGAAGAAAATGCTTGGGAGAAGGGTGCAGAGACTGTCCAAAAATAAGAAAAATAAAGTCCAGAAAAAGAAAGAGAGGGAGGGGAAAGAGATCAAGGTAGAAAAATTTTAAAATGTAAAATTTGAAGAAAAGAAAAATAGAGAGAGTGTTGTTTCAGAGAAAGTGTATGGTATAATCCTGAAAAATACGAGAATTACACCATAAACTTTCTCTACTGCCGAGAATTGCACCATAAACTTTAGATTATTTTTCTTCTCACTAGGCTTTTCTCCATTGCCGTCTATGAGGGTGAGAAAGAAAAATTTCTCCATTGAGGATAATTTTCTTGGTGTTTTTCTCAGACAGTGAATTGAAGACTTTTCATGTTGAAAGAATTGTTTGTGATGGAAATGGATTGGAATGTCTTGATTTAAATAGGGGAGGAGGAGGTTCACGGGTTCCATTAAGTGAGTAGTTGGAACGGTGAGAGTAAAGGAGTTTCAACTTCCAAGAAGTTGAAAAGTGGAAGGAATCTTTTACCGATTTCCAAGGAATTGAAACTGTTCCAATTAGAAAATCAGTTTCGTTTGGTTTGAGAAACGTAACTGTTTTTGTTTGGCTAAGCCCAAAAGAGTGGCCCAAAAAGAAAAGAAAGCTATGTACTAAAGGGAAATTATTCCTATTGGGTTCTCAAGGCCCAAAATAAAACTATCATTTTTCATTCCCTATAGTTCTAATTTCTACTTAGGACGAGGTAGTACCAAAACAAATATGAATTTTATTTTTAAAAGAAAAGTGGTACTATTTTTCCAAAGTCCTGTACATTATAAAAATCCTAAGGACCAGTACTTTTAGAGCTAGTTGGAAATGAATTAAGGATTAAAGCTTAGTTTAAGAAGG